CCCCCCTGAGTGCACAAATTTTTGTGCACCGGGCCTCTAGTATAATAATAACAAAATTCTTGTAAAACATTAAAAACATTTTTTAAAATTTACTGATTTTTGGGAGAGAAGAACTGAGTGGGGAGGAGACAGAGAAACTATACCCTGATCGGGGATCGAACCCTCAACCTTGGAGTATTTGATGATGCTCTAACCAGCTGAGATACCTGGCCGGGGCTTGTAAAATATTTTTTAAATTAATATGATATATTTCCAAATGCAGTACATGTGTTTTTTGTTTTTTTTTAAATATATTTTTATTGATTTCAGAGAGGAACAGAGAGGGAGAGAGAGAGATAGAAACATCAATGATGAGAGAATCATTAATCGGCTGCCTCCTGGGGATCAAGCCCGCAACTGGAGCATGTGCCCTTGACCAAAATTGAACCCAGGACCCTTAAGTCCGCAGGTCGACGCTTTATCCACTGGGCCAAACCAGCTAGGGCAGTACATGTTTCATTAATAAATGGACACACTATGGAAGCTGACTGCAAAATACAGGTGGAGGAGTGTAGGGGGGAATAAATGGTGAAGGATGGACTTGGAGGGGTGAATACGCAATTTAGTATACAGATGATGTGTTGTAGAATTGTGCACCTGAAACCTGTATAATTTTGTTAACCAGTGTCACTCCAGTAAATTCAATAAAAGGGAAAAAATATTAGCAAAACAAATGAATAAGGTATTTCTATTACAAAGGAAGAATGAAATGCTGCCAAGTTTATACACAGGAGGGAGAAAGAAGAAAAAAAGAAGGCAAGAGAAAGAAAAAAGAAAGAGAAAAGTGTAATTTAAGTAAGGGACTAAAATTCCTAACTGCTTAGAGGCATAATTAACAAGTAGCAAGTGTTGTGAGAAGCAAGGAATGGCATCTGATGATAGTCTTAGATATTTATCTATTTTGGACAGTTTGAGAGAAAATAGGATTATAAAACTTCCCTTAAGCAATTCAGTGATTATAAAGTTTAAGGCAGTCATTCCAATGCCTGATACGAAGTTAGCTCTACACAACTATCTATGAAACAATTAGATTTAGAACCATGAAAATTTAGTAGAAATTTAATAATTCTTAATGTTATTCAAATCACAAGACAAGATTGTGCCTCAGATTCATTTAGCAAGTTTTCTCATTGTGATTTAGACCTGATTAAAAAAAATAAGTAAAATTGTGTATTTTTACTTGTTCTACTAAACCAACATTTGAAGAAAAAAATAGCTAATAAATAACACTGGGAGGGTATTATGTGGGTTGTGTATATATGTCAAAGAGATAAGATATACTAGTAAATATCTTACAGTTCAAAGATGGTATGGATTGAGGTTTTATCATATGAGGATTCATGAAAGTTTTATACTAACTGGCAATGTTAAGTCCTATAGTTTTGTCTTTCAAATTCATTGTTGATGGTTATTGATAAAAAATAAGTATCAGCTGAAATGTTTAGAGTATGCGAAAATATCACTTGTATTTATAGATAGTGCAATATTCCAAAAAATTTTGGTCTATGCTTCATAGATTATAGAATTATTCTTGGTAAATATCCTATATAATAAAAGCATAGTATGCAAATTGCCCCCTCGACCTGGAGTTCATTCGGGAGTTTGACCAGGGGGCGGGGCCGGCCAGGGGAAGGGAGGGAAGCCCTGGCCTGCGGCTGTGGCGGTGGTGGCAGGTGACTGGGGGAAGGGAGGGAGGCCCCAGCTGGCAGCTGGCAGCCGGCAGCCTCTAGGGACCCTACCAATGCATGAATTTCCTGCATTGGGCCTCTAGTGTATATATAAAAAAGCCTAAGTGACCAGCTGGTAGCTATGACATGCACTGACCACCAGGGGGGCAGACACTCAACGAAGGAGCTGCCGAGCAACAGCAACTTTGTAGAGTGCCCTCTTGCACTTGGGGGATGTTGGACTGCCCGTTTCGGCCCAATCCCTGCAGGCCAGGCCATAGGACCCCACCTCTAGTTTCTTAATATTGGTGGAGGATAGTGTTTATAAGTTCTTTTTAGTATTCAAATTGAAACATAAAACTTAAATTACATGTTTTTTCCATCTCAGTCATTATAACTTTTGTATTATTTCTAAGTGAGTGAAATAAGGAAGGGTGAATATTGCCATTTTGCTAAGGAGAAAACGGAAACACAGAACAGTTAAAAATGACTTTGCAAGGTAGAGAGGAAGCCAAGATTAGGAACTAAGTGCCTTATCATGGTGTCTTCCTTCTAAATTATCCTGTCATTTTAATTGGGGTGGGGGGTGGAGAGGGGGGTGGCAGTGGCGAGGAGACAGAAAGATCTCTATTTCCTCAGAGGTATTTGCCAAGATTTTTACTAGATGATTTGTTTTCTGAATGTTGGTCCCAGAGGTCTTCTGTGTAGCTCAATATGTTTATTAAGTTTACTTTGATCACATTTTGTAAAAATTATAAGCCTCTCATTACAAGCCCCGGATTGTGCTTCTTGGGCAGTGGTAGAATACTTAATGATACTTAAAAATCCTTGCTCTAAAAAGGAAAGAAAAATCCTTGATCTAGAAACTGTTTGATAAGAAACTGTTTAAATGCTTTTAAAGATTAGTATATTGATTTTCCTGTCAAATGGTCATTATCATACAAATTTTTGTGACATTTGATACAGATTTTATCAATCTAGCTGTATTATAATAGAGAAAATGATATAATTAGATATGATGACTGTACACCCCTCCCAGTTATGTTCGTGTTTGTTGTGCTAGATCCTGGGCATCTCCTCATATTCAGTATCCTTGATCCCTATATGCGATAAGAATTCAAGCGTATTAATATGTATATATGAAAAAATCTCTTCCCTCCAAATTTTGTAATGCTAGAACCATTTAAAAATACCTTTTCAACATTGAAAGTACTGTTTAACTTATTAAAAAACATTTAATTTATCAGAGACTATTCTAAGTGAAACATTTATTAATAATGCATTAAACCCACAAAGGGGTTTCTTTAGAATTTCCAAATATGGGAAAGGATTAAGAAAAAAAAGATTGTGAGATTCTTTGCTTGCTTAGTATCTAATGCTCCTGTAATTATATCATTTTATGATAATTGGACATTTTACTCTGTCCTTTTAAAAAAATTCACAGGTGAATCTGTACCAGAATACCAGATGGCTTTTCAGACAGAAGTTGGAAACCATCCCACTTTTGAAGATATGCAGGTTCTGGTGTCTAGGGAAAAACAGAGACCGAAGTTCCCAGAAGCTTGGAAAGAAAATAGCCTGGTAAGAAAAACTAAATTATTAAAAACATGACTTAATGACTATGTTTTAATGTTGTTTGAAGCAAAAAAAAAAGACTGTTAATAATGTTAATAGTTTTATAGACTTGTCTAATGCCAAAAATCCCACCTACTTGATTTTATTTTTAAATCAACTTACTTGATTTTTGTTGTTATGTGTTTTAAAATTTTTCAGTATAAAAAGTCCCCCTTTTTGGTTCAGTTTCAGTTTTTTCCAAGTATAAAATATTATTTAAAGAGACTATTATGTGTTGTTTGTCAGATTGGGTAACAACTGGAATAATTAACAAGTTAATATTTGAAACGTTATTGAAATTCCATCTTACTCTCTTGAGAATGGTACTAAAAGTGTTAATTAGTGCAGACTTACCAATTCAGTGGCTAAGGGAAATTTAAGCTGCACCAAAAAGAAAGCAAGGTACAGCCTGTAAATACTGCATATTAAATGCAGCTCACAACATTGAAATATCTTCAGAGGCTCCTATCATTTCAGTAAGTTATTGCCATGGTACTAAAAACATCTTACAAACATTTACATACACACACATACCCACTCCCTGTCTCATATAAGTTTTTTACATAAGTGGGAGTATCTCATTATTTACTATCATTTCTGAAGCTTTATTCTTTTAATATGGACAGTTTTCATGTCAATACATATAGATGTTTCTCTTTATCCCCATTTGACAGTATGCCATTGTGTGCTATATCATAATTATCCCTTATTGATGACAGTACCCTGGATTTCATATTTTAAACAGTTTTTTGAAAGAATTAAAGTTATGCTTATGCATAGTAAACGAAACCCAATTAAATAGAAGGGTATAAAAAAGAAAATGGAAAAGACTACCCGTCCCCACCACCATTCTTCAAAAATAACTCTCATTAACATTGTTCTGCAGTTTTTGTTTTTGTTTTTGTTTTTATTTTATTTATTTATTTTTTTGTTTTTAATTTTCTCTTCTAGAAGTTACCATTATAATGCTACTATATTTATTCTTATTTCTTTTTTTAAAATAAGTCTTTATTCAGATTATTACAGTTGTTCCTCTTTTTTCTCCCCGTATCTCCCCTCCACCCAGTTCCCACCCTACCCCATGCCCTTGTTTTTGTTTTTTATTTATTTTTTTGTTTTTAATTTTCTCTTCTAGAAGTTACCATTATAATGCTACTATATTTATTCTTTTATTCTTATTTAAAATAAGTCTTTATTCAGATTATTACAGTTGTTCCTCTTTTTTCTCCCCGTATCTCCCCTCCACCCAGTTCCCACCCTACCCCATGCCCTTACCCCCCCCATTGTCCTCCTCCATAGGTGTTAGAGGGAATTGTCAGTCCACTCCCTTTCTATGCCCCTGATTCTATTATATTCACCAGTTTATTCTGTTCATTATATTTTTTAATCACTTGATTTTTAGATTCACATGTTGATAGATATGTATTTGTTGTCACTTTGTTGTTCATAATTTTTATCTTGACCTTTTTCTTCTTCCTCCTCTTCTTAAAGAATACCCTTCAGCATTTCATATAATACTGGTTTGGCGGTGATGAACTGCTTTAGCTTGTTCTTCTTTTTTTTTTTAATAAATCTTTATTGTTCATATTATTACAGATGTTCCTCTCTTTTCCCCCCATAGCTCCCCTCCACCTGGTTCCCACCCCAACCCATGCCCTTACCCCCCGCCACTGTCCTCATCCATAGGTATAAGATTTTTGTCCAATCTCTTCCCACACCCCTCACACCCCCTTCCCCCTGAGAATTA